AGCTTACAGACAGCTCAATAGACACATATGGATGTCCATGCGACACGACATACGGGTCTTTAATACCAATAATATTAAAGATACCATAGAGTAGAACAAGGGCTCCAAAGTGCACGGGACATGTCATTGGGCAAAATCAGTTTACAAAGCTGAAGAAGGAGGATGGTAGCGTTACATCGTCCAAGCCAGAAGTACTGGCGGAGATCGAGAGGGTCTGTAGCCAACTGTATACCTCGATTACTCAGCTTGTTGCTGATTCAAAAGATCCTAGAGCCAAGCTCACCCGACACTTTACTGAGGATATCCCGGACTTCAGCCTGTATGAAATTAGAATGGCTCTGAAACAGCTAAAAAACAACAATGCACCGGGTGAAGATAAAATTACATCCGAGCTTCTGACTGCGGGTGGATCAAAGGTACTAAAACTTGTTCTTCAGAAGTTCTTTATTTCAGTCTTACTTGAAGGTTCTTGCGTGGGCTAGAAGCGTACTCGAAGGTTCTTGCGTGGACTAGAAGCGTGGTGATACTTTTCTTCAAAAAGGGACATAACACCCTACTGAAGAAACTAAGCCACGTTTATAAGCTGTTTTCACAAGTCATCACGAACCGTCTCGCGCGCAGATTCGATGACTTAGATAGACCACATCCACACACTGCGACAGGTTATACAGAAGACCGAGGAGTATAACCTGTCATTGAGCTTAGCGTTTGTGGACTATGAGAAAGCTTTTGATTCGATCGAGATTTGGGCGGCGCTACAGTCTCTACAACGGCGTCACATTGACTATCAATACATCGAAGTGTTGAAATATTTGTACAGAAACGCCACTATGTCGGTTCGACTCCAAGACCAGTGCACAAAGCCTATCTAATTACAAATAGAAGTGTGACAGGGAGACGTCATTTCTCCGAAACTGTTTACCAATGTATTGGAAGATTCCTTCATGTTACTGGACTGGAAAGAACTAGGCATCAACAGCAATGGCGAGTACATCACTCACCTTCGCTTTGTTGTCATGGCATAATCGTTGGAGGAGCTTAGCATCACGCTCGGTGACCTCAATAGAGTTTCCCAACAGGTGGGTCTAAAAATGAACATGGACAAGACGAAACTTATATCGAATGTCCATGTCATACCCACCCCTATAACATTGGAAAACTCTACTCTCGAATTTTGTTAACGATTATGTCCGTGAACCGTCCAATTAGGCAGAGCCAACTTCAAGGAAGAGGTAAATCGTCGACTCTGTTGGGCAGTTTTCGAGAAGCTCCGGGACGTCTTCTCGTCCGCAATACCGCAGTCCTTAAAGAAAGTCTTCGAGCAGTGCGTGTTACCAGCGATGATCTATGGCTCTGAGACATGGTCACTTTGGGCCTCATAAAAAAGCTCAAAGTCACTGAACGAGCTATGGAGCAAGCAATGCTCGGCATTTCTCTGCGTGATTGAATCAGTAATAAGGAAATCCGTAGAAGAACGAAGGTCACTGACATAGCTCAGAGGATTAGCAAATTGAAATGGCAGTGGGCAGGGCATAGCTCGTAGAACTGACGGCCGTCGGGGCAGAATGGTTCTCGAATGGAGACCACGAACCGGAAGGGGGACGGACCCCTACTAGATGGATAAATGACTTGGTACGGGCGGCGCGAGTAGCCGATGTATGACCGTCGCGTCCGACTAGCTAGTCTGGCAATCTTTGAGGGAGGCCTATGTTCAGCAGTGGACGTCTTCCGGCTGATGATGATGATGATAATGATGAATTATTTCATTTTTAGTGGGTTTACAATTTACAATGTACAATTTTTTTAAGAACAGGTACTAAATTACAAAAAAATACAATTCATATACAATACATTTACACTTATCTATACATTTATTTTATTTACATTTATTTATAATACATTTTTTTGGTACCTACTAAATTTCTACCAAAAATCGCACAATTTTAACTTTATATCTCAGAAACTAATCAGCAGATCGAGGTGGAGTTTCTTTAACTTTAGAGTACTATTAAGGTAAACATTTTTGGAATAATAATAATAATATAAATTTATTATAAATTATTAAATAAAAACCGGTAATCTGAGGTACACCCGTCATATTGACTGTCAATACGGCGGGTATACTTTTGATATTGCTATAACTTCGTTCATGTGTTACAATGTTTTTAAACAGAGGTGCTAAATAGTACAATTTAGGTACATTTTTTCGATACCAAATTTGTCAGGCTCTGTTAACCTCCGTACACCCGCCATTCTGACTCTCACCGTAATGGTTGGCCTTCCCTAAGATATACATTTTTCATTATGAATTTAATTTTTCTATGTTTTGAATAGGCTATTCTAGCGTGGATAGTGAAACTAAGTTAGCTTATTTTTTGCGTGACTAGTCAAATTTTAAATACCTACTCGGTCTTTCGCAAGAAGACACGCGTCATGTTTTAATAATGCGCTCAATTGAAACCCGTATCGTCTTCGTTTATAATAATAACACTCCCCATTTACTGATATTATTATTACCTATCGTGACTCCCAGATAAGGAGTAAATGATGTCTTTATCGAAATTAACGACGTCCTATCATGTTGCTTAGCAAATTGAGAAAATCCGGGTAACTACCATCGTTACCTCTCTGATTTTATTTTCGTACTTATTTCAAATCTCAAAAAAAGATTAATATTAATTTTGGCTACGTATTACAATTTAAAGACCTTTTGGTTTAAAACGTTACTTGTTTAATGAATGAAATAACCATAAATAAATAAATAATATTATAAATTGAGCGCGATTTCTAGTGTTTTACCATTCCTGTTGTGTTAATTTAATTATCAACCATCCTGAACAGTTTCTAATCCTACGTATTTAGTAATGAAATGAGTAATTATTGCAATAACGGCATTGGCGAAGCTGTGCTACATATTATCAAGGTCACTGCACAATGCTTGTTTCATCAAGATGCAATCAATTCGAGTCCTTTGTGATTATCAGCAAATCCCAGTGGGTTTATTTTTAAATAAAAGGATTTTTGTAGCGAATAAAACTTAAAAACCCCAGCACATAAAGCATACTCTTAAAAAGTTAATAATATTGTAACATCTTTGAACGTCTGTATGAAACCGTTAATATGAAATCGACACAGTGGCAGTCGGACACAGTCGCCGGTTGTGGCAGTCCGACTGCCGCATCCTGCGCGACTGTGAATTAAGTTTTTAATTTAAGTTTTATTTTAAGCGTTTTAACTTAGTACAATAAAAAAATTCATCTAAGACTATACCTGTCTTCACGCAAATAATCAAGTTTTTAGGTTTACGCGGTTGTTACACATAGGAAATGAAACTATTTTTCCGGATTTAAATCGCGTATATTTGTTTTTTCAAACAAAGCACGCAAATAGTTAGGTAGATGTACTTACTTACTTAAACGTTTCTATATTTCCTTCCAGTAATATTTTTGTTGACATCTTGCATATATGATGTGATTATTTGTTACTATTCGTTGAAACCAATGAATAAAAGAGATGGGTGTGTATATAATAGATCTTCGTTTGATAAACGTGATATTCTCCGATCGAACACTTTCCAGCTCTATCAAGGCCCTTACCACTGTCAACCAATCCAATGAGTCTTAACTCGATGGGTCTACGCGTAATTATCAAAGCTGACTCTCAGTTCCCACTTTCCTGCTCCATTATCACACGCTAATCACTATTAAGTACCTAGTCATCTGGACTAGTTAAATTTTTTTTTAACGCAGTCATAACCACTAGAGAAATCCTGTATCGCGGGTACCATGACCACATACACAAAACAACAAATTACACCCAAACTCATTAGATAAATAAATGTAGTCCATACAAATATTTCTCTAGGCGCGGGAATCGAACCTGGGACTTCTGCGTGGCAATTCAGCATGGTCCGCCGTCCGTCCAACCACGGAGGCAGTTCACAAGTTCAAATTGAAGACCTCCGTGGTCGAGTGACTTACACACCGGTTTTCATGGTGTAATCATCTCTGGTTGGATACCCGGCTGGGTCAATATAGAAAGACTAAATTTTCCATTTTGTCTCGGGTCTGGGTGTTTGTGTTACCATCTCATTGTTTCAGATTTCCATAACACAAGTGCTTAGTTGCCAAATGCCCTTCGAGACCTATCCAACGAGTACAAACTCGCTGGGTCTACGCTTAACAAGACTAAGTTTTTGTGTCTAACTTCCTGCTCCACCACAGACCCTAGTGACTAGAGTCATTTCTTACCGCAGTCTGTCCAGATTAAGATTACCATATTCTAATGTCTTCTAATTTCCATAGTAAGTTATACATTGACCTAGTTGGTAGGTCAATGCAATGGCGCGTTGACACCGGGTCGTCTGCCGCCTTCGACCGACTACTTTCCCATGCCGAATGCGACGCAGTCGACTCGCCGTTTACACCGTGGTCTGCCGCCTTCGCTTACAAAACCCTTATCGCGGTAGGGCGCGACTGCGGACACGTTGAAAGCCGTTGGGTCGACTATTGCTTGCCGAAGGCGACCGTGTTGTTCATAGCCTTTACAATATGTTTACACCTAGTCGCTTCGGTCGACTTCGGCTGCGAACTACGGTCGGTCGTCAGATGACTCAATATTTACACCGAGTAGTCCCGGTCGCCCGTCGACCTGGTGTAAATGCGCCATATTCCAAATTTCAAGTCAATAGATAGACAACACAGATAAAGGCTTCAAACTTATAACTCCTCTTTTTGTGTTGGGGGTTAATAAAATAAAACAACAATCTTCCGCCGTCGCATTCCTTATATTGAATGAAAATAGAACAGTCAATTCTGTTTTAAAATGATACATAAAAAAAATATTGAAGAAATTGATTGCACAAAATATTTCAGAAAAAAATAAAAAATAATTTTCATTAAAAACACACATGTAAAATTCATACTTTCATAACATTGAATGCGACCAATCTTCTAAAATGAATGATGTTGGTGAAAGAGGCGCCACTTGTTTTGTACAAAGGTGTTAAATGATCTCTCAATTGATGATACATGAGTGTGAGTGCTGCTCGATGTGAAAATGATCTGCTTATCCGAAACAAAAAATGAACAAACTTAAGTTATCTATCTAACAAGAAAACATTAGTCATCAAAATTACACTTCTTTAACTTGGAACTCTTTAGCACGGATTTTGCTCTGGCGCAGGCTTTGAAGTCGCGCGATGTGGACAAATCGCTGAAGGCGGCGAGTGAAATGATTTTATTTTATGAGACCTTTGGCTTTGAAGAGGTCGCGCATGAGGCCTTTGATGTAGCGGATTTCGCGCTGAACATCGGAGCACTTTTCGCGGAGCTCAGCGTTACGCTGGCGCTCCGACTGCTCCTGGCAGATCAGGACCTCGATCTCGGCCTTCTTCTTTTGGCGGTAACGAGTAGCCGCATTTTTGTTCTGCTCCTTCTTGCGAGATCGGCGGTCGTCCGTAGAGCGCGAGTAAGGCTTGGGTCGTGTCGGCACCGTCCATTCATCATCGGTGGACGAGCGCGGCGAAGACGGAGGCGACGAACCAGGCGAAGCGCTGGCACTGTCGCCCGACGGAAGCGGGGACGCGAGTTCGGCGGCGCGGTGACGCACCAACTCCTCTACGGCCAGTAACTCAGAGTCGTAGAGTGCCTGCGGAGGCGGAGGCACCTGCGGAGCGACGACGGGCCACTGTTCCTGCGCGAGCGGTAGTGTGGGAGCGAGAGGCGCGAACTGTGCCTGCTGCGCGTAGCTCAGTAACAGTTGCGTGGCAGGTCCGGGCGGACTCTGCGGCGGTGTCAGATGCGTCAACTCCACAGCTCCATACACGGTCTCGAACTCGCGCAGCAGCTCTTCAGTGGGCTGCGGAGCGCTGAACGGGGGCGCGACGGTGACGGCAGGAGCCACCGGTACATCTACGCGTTCCGGTGCTTGGGGAATGTTGTCGAAAATGGGAAACTCTGTCTTCTCCTCCAGCCAGTTCGGGAAAATGTTTTCTATAAAAAAATACATATATAATTAGAATTGTACTTGGAATCATGTACACACATGATACAAATGTGGTATACCACGATAGAACAAAAACACCTAAACATGAAGTTAGTAAAAAACAGAAGTGTTGAGAACAAACGATGTGTTTCTTTAGGCTTAAACCAGATCGTCAAATATTTAGTTGCTGAATACGAGTTTAACGAGAAATATAGAATAAAATTAACTAATTTAAGTATACATAGCAAATTAAGGTCATTTTGTAAAGAATAGAAACGGTACGGCACGCAGAGGCTCCCTCCCTGAACTAAATAAACACGGTGTCATGTTGCACGCACCGCAATGCTCATTGTTCTCCGCTACTGTCAACAGTAACTGCTTAATGGCTCCCTCTACTGGATATTCGAAACTCCATTCAATAATTATTACTTTTTCCCTACCTTAATTGCGACATTCGAACCTAATTGACTGCCTACGTAATTGAGAGATTATGTAGTAGCGGACTTTAAATCTCTTGTGAATTTAGTTTTTAATGATCACTTACAAATACTTATGATCAGCTCCCATATCTTTTCTACATAAATATGTTTTGTTTATAGTGACCCTCCCTATCAACCCCGCTTGGTTATACGGGAAGGGCACTATAACCTGTGCAAGCAGGCCCACACAGGGACCTTCTCAGTCAGGTACTGACCCCAGATCAGCCCGTTTGCACGGACTTCATCCGGTTCTCAGAAGGCTAGTGCCTTAGGTGAGCCGGCCCAGGTGCACGTACAACTTCATTCATTTTTGATCAATGGAAAATACCAACAACTTTTGATCAGTGGAAAATACCAATAACTTTATATTCACATTTAATTATCCAAACTGGTTAGTTACAATGCCTATTAACCATGAATTATCAACCAGCTATTTATCTCAACAAAACATATAGCAGAATATAAATATTTATAGATAATTACATGAAAACAAAGTGGAGGTAAGAAATAAATCTCTAATCTTGCTAGAACAAAGGTTATTCATATCAACATTCGAAATCAAAATGTATAAAAAATTAATTCAAAATTGACTCTCAACTAAACAGAGAGCCGTCTTTAGTATTCAATTGAGCTTAATTGGTAAGATTGGTGTCTCGCCTCTTAAATTTAAATGGAGAAATTCTTGGTCATCACACTCAGACTATGGTGTAACATCATGTATAAAGTTATTTAACCTCCTAAGGCTCCAGGTACATAAAAATGTACATAACATGTGAAATTACTCAGACCCATGGAATATTACTCCTATGATCACGTAAATGCCCAGTGTATATTATAATGAAAATACCTCATTCGAATTTAGCGCTATGTATTCCATATGACTATAACCCTAAGGTACCTAGAAAAATATGTTTTCATACAAAACTAAGGGCATCCTTGCTTGGCCCTGAAGCATGAAATTAGATTTTATACATTTTAAGGCACACTGGGTGTTTAGCGCTTATCCCATAGCAGTTTGCTGGGTCTTAGGAGCTTATGTCCCGGGACTGTAGGGTGGATTATTATACCATAGTTCTGACTCTACATAGTTCAAATTTTTATACAATGTTTTACCATTTAAGCAAGTGTTTACAATAAATACAATCTGGGCATGATTCGAAAAGAGAAGTTTTGCATAGTAAAATAAATAGTGTTGATTTAGCTGCAAGATGGCTAAGTGTAGTAAATAGCACAAATTACTGCAGCATTCTGACCTTTGATAAACTCACAATCTAAAGAGTTCGGTGGCACCTCGCTCTCAATAACAATCTACTTGATAATTCCTACGAAGAACGTCAGAACTGCTTGGTTTTAGGGTTATTCATCCAAATAAATGAGAGTCAATGACTTTATATTAAATTGATTAGAATAGGTTTATAGTGAACTCTACTAATTATGATTAGAATCCAATATTTCAAAAACATTTTTTCGATAACATTCCACAACACGGTCATGTAGCATTACTATAATGCCAAAGATATGTCGTATTTTAACATTGTGATACGAGGAGCAAACACTCGCATAGGCAACTTTTTAAGTATAAACCCTTACAAGGTGACGGAGATAAAAAAAAGAATTTAGTTACGCATAAACTTCGTGACAAAATAACAATTTGATCGTCCTTCGTAAAATGTTGGTAGGTCATATCTGTATCAATATGAAGGAATAGAAACAAGTGGCAAATAAGTAGCTTTAATTATTGGGCGAGCAGCAGCCGAGGTCGCCTTGTGCGCGAACTGGTTATCAGTTCACAGCGGTATAAGTGTTAAGCGCCCGACGTTAACTGCGGCGTTAACGTCACGTTTAATACTTAGCTTATGTTGTGTTAGGACACCAGTTATAACTTTCAGCTCAAACCTTGTACCACGCGCTAAACAGTCTCAAGCGCATTACTACGTCGAGCTGCCACGTGGACCTCGACACTTCGTTACACATAACACAAAACAAATGCATAAACAATTTATATGCATTGCAATTATATTCAGTTCTAGTCTATTACATCTAGCTATGCATACGTAATTGAATTTTACACTACGCATCGATAAGCATTCTCGTTTTATGAAGGCTTGCTGCGACTCATTCTACACTTATGATTTAGTTCAGATGTGCAGGGTGTAGATACATGAAATAAATCAAGTTGAAGTAATTAACATGGTATAGTCGATCTGAACCTACCTATTTAATATACAGACATAACGTTTTATTGGAAATGTCGATATAGCTAAATAAGTTAGTGTAAGTAAACAAGTTTGTTGCGTAGTAACTGTTGCTCCAATTCAAAGAGCAATATGCTTAAGCTTGTTTTACGTAACTATGAACTCGTTATGTATAAATGAGAGCAGTGAGAGTATAACTGTGTAAGTTTGTTAAACACTTGTTTAATATGGAACTGCATACAACCGGCGAGAGCAAGAATTAGAGCAATCACACTTTCCGCCAAAGCTCCATTCAATAAACCAAACAACATCAATTCGTCGGCGGCAATGTACCGCAAACACCTCAATAACACGTACCGACATACAGGTCTGCCAGTGCCAACAGTGCCATCACTTTTTTTTTTCAGAAACCGTTTCAAAGTCCACAATACTTTCTTATTTATATTTACTTCGACAATACAGTTCTAGCGATGAATTTAATACGATGATAGGGGCAGTGATAATGTATAGAAGTATCCACGTAGTTAGCTATAGTCGTCGTTGATAGTCTAGAGGCAGCCTGAGGGCTAACGTCTCTTAACAAGCTTCTGTGAGTTAAAAACAATCTCCTTGTTCCAAATGCAACGATACTGGCTCTTCATTCTAACGGTGTCCAGAAGGTGCATCGACGGCGGCAGGCATATGGCGCGAGAAGAGCGCGAACGCCCGGAGTGATCTCTACAAGTGGAATTTATTGTCACAAAACAAAAATGCCAAGCAAACGAGCACTGCAAACGCGGCGCGAGACACGTTACAACTGACCGCGCGCAGTCGCGATGACGTAGACCCCGCGCGCTGCGCCGGACCTTAGGCGCGCTAAGCGTGCCACCCCACTACCTTACCTTGCGCCCGAATACATAAATAGTCCAATGCAGAACAAATGTCAACAATCACATGTCTGTGTATTTTTATTACAGACAACGCCAAAAAACAACTTATAATGATCGACAAATAATGTTAGGCCCTCCCCAGAACAATTAAAATCATCATTAATATTAACGACATTTTAATGAAATTATTTTCGCTTATTTATTTTCCTTGTACAAACAATTTTAGCTAGGACTAAAAAACAATGGAAAGCTGTTTGTCCATCTGACCGTGGATAAATAGAACAAGGAAACTTTATTCGTCGGTCTGCGTAGTCGGTATTGGAGTTGTGTAGTTGGTTAATATTACTAGGAAGCAATTTATTACTAACACAATTACAAAAAACTGATTTATTGCCCTCTAGACACATAACAAAAGATCCCGGTGTGGATACTTTCATGTTTTGTTGTTAACTGAATGATATTGATGATACTCGTAACTTGGTTGTGTGTCACATTAGAAAAACATCATTTATTGAGAAACAGTAAAAAAATACATAAACACTTCCGATTTTTACGTCGAGTTCAATACTACTAATAATAATGTAATATAATGAAATAAATTTTGTCGTTCTAAGATTATTTGTAATAAAAGAACACTTTCATTATTTTATTATTATGTATTAGTATGTGTTCGTTGATAGTTCACAAGAAATAAATCTCTACTTGAATAACTGCTCTACTATAGTAACAATTATCCTATATTAAATAAATATCCCTAGCACAAAGTGCACTTATAAGGTACGAGGCAAATGTTATCAATATTCTATTTCGAAAAACTAGAAATTAAAAAAGTCATTTATAACTACATTGTAATCACGACTCTCGTGACCTAATTGTCAATTGATTGTGATAATATGATTTCGAATCACGCGTCTAGACCATGCCGCTCAGCGTTCAGGTGTGGTATGTTTATGCAAATCGCAACTCAAGATATGAGCCTCAAAGGTTTGGCTGTTTTAAAGTACACATTTTACTACATAGTGGTTCGGCAATCAGTTTTCTTCACGTTACTAATCTATTTGCCGGTAGTCAGTTCCATGAAAAACGTAAAACCCCGTTGTTGTTTCTGCAACTTGTTTGTATTATAATGTACTTTTTTACATCAAGAAATTGTTCTTACATCAAGAAATTTTTACCTCTTACATCAAATTTAAATAATCTTAAATGAATTCAAAATTTCTTGTGTGTGACAAAATAAGAAGTATTTTGCTATTCAGATTAATATTCTAAATGCGAGAGTATATTTTTTAAAGCAACATTTCGTTGCGTTTGCATAGTCAATGTTGTCGTGACATGTCGCCGAAGGAGCACACGGTAACGATTACTTTTACTTGTGCTTGTAATCATAAAAATCTTAAACACTCATTTTTCCAAAGAAACAAATCGTAGTATATCTTTGTAGTTTGTTAGTGTATTCTTTGCAGTC